TGTTTCTCACCTCCAGCTAACGTGTATAATGTGTGTGAGCTTCTGAATAGCTCAGACGCCCTACGTGTGCGTTCATATCTCCTGCAAGTACTATACTATCTGAACTAGTAGCACGGCGCAATAGCGCGTTTACTTTGTGATAGAAGGTACCCATGGCAGCATCAGAACTACAGGCGGTGGGAGCACAAGCGGAAACCACAAACAAACAGCATCTTGTACTACTTTGTGAATCAACCTTAGGTGATGTCGTCAAGCGGGTTGCACATAAACGGCTGTTTACCGGAATCCAATCAACCGATGAAGACAGCCTTCGAGCTGAGAACAATGCCCCCACCAGCCTGACCGCTGATTGCCGCATCAGCGTCTCCGGATGCGTGCAACCAACAGCGAGAGGAGAACCCGGGCGCAGTTAATTTAACAGTTCCGTGAGGGTCGCCTAGTCGTCTTTTGCTTCTGATAAACTGTTCCAATTGGTTGAATCCACCAGAGTCAGTGTGTGTGTCCGTTAACGCCAGCTAACCACTGATTAGACTGTCTGAAGTTTATGATCGTTGTTTGTGGCGACAGGATACATTCTGTGTATTGCTGAAACTGACGTACTCTACTTTTGTGCGCTACGGGCCGAATACTGTATTATACTAAGTGTCGTTTAGTACGGGCCGAGTTGTAACACCAAGCTGGTATTAGGGTTGCTCTGAATGACAAGGCTGAGTCCGCGCTGCTTGATTGGATCCCAGTCAACTGTCGGCTATGTGCAGTCGGACTACGAGGTACGCGTCGAGATGTTACGCGTGCCTTTTTTGGTCATCGCCACCTACGCTCCTACAGACTGCAGCTCGGATGCAGTCAAGGATTACTTTTACTAACAGCTACATGAGCTACTGCGTTCCTCAAAGTAGTCTGACATTGTCATACTTGCCGAAGATTTTAACGCACGAGAGGACCGCCTGCCACCAAGCGAGCACCATCTTGGGGGTAGTTTTAGCCTCGGTAGCAGCAGATCAGACAATGCAGATAGGCTGCTAACCCTTTTTCTGATCATAGCTTGTTCCTTTAGAGCACGAGTTTTCGGCATTCGGAACGACAGACTGCTACATGGCGTCCACCTTCTCAAATGCAAGAGTGGTCTCAGCTTGACCATATAGCAATAAGCTACAGACGTAGCGGAAGCGTAACAGACTGCCGATCGTACTGGGCAACTTGTCTGGACTCCGATCATGCACTGGTTTCCACCAAGATTTGTATGCGTTTTGTAGGATCACTCAGACGTAAGCACTACCAAACGAACGTCGAAAATCTGCAACATCCTGCGCCGTCAGCCAAGTACCAGACTCCTCTCTCAACACTGCTTGGTTCATCCTCTGACGATGATCTCAATTCGCAATAGATGCGCATCAAAGACGCTTTAATTTCTGCCAGTACTGTCAGTTGTGGATTTGCTTGTCACCCACCGAAAAGCTGGGTCACCTCCGCCTCCATGTCGCTGATGAACAGACACCGATTGATCCCAGCCGACACCAGCTGTAGTGAGGAACGCCGATCGCGGGATCGAACGTTGCGTAGGAGCTTACAGAAGGACCGTGAGACCTGGTGGTGTGAACATGCTAGAGAGCTTGAATTGGCTAATCTCTCTGGTAATACCAGAAAACTGTTCCACTTCATCCGAGCTACGGAAGGCTTCCGATCTGGAGTAGGCGAAACAATATGCGAATATGATGGCTCCATGATCATTATTCTTCAACGATAGTGGGAACGATGAGCCGAACCTTTTCGCTCGCAGTTTTCCTGACCACCGGCTCCATCTGTTTCCTCTGGGGCGCGCACTGGTGATGAGTGGACTATCCCCACTGATCCTCTCTCTCACCAAGAAAATTGACGGGAACACTGCTGCCTAAAGCGTTATAGGGCACCCGGCCCTAATAGTCTACCTCCTGCTCTACTTAAAGATGGGAGCTCTTCGCTGGTTCGAGAACTCACCGCTTTGTCCTCAGAAGTCTGGGCAAAAGAGGAGGTTCCATCATTCTGGAATGAGTCGATAGTCATTCCAATCTCCATAAAGGGCCTGCGCACAAATTGCTCCAATTACAGGGGCATAAATTTGGTTCCCATCATTTGCAAGATTCTGGTAACCATCATTCTTCGCAAACTATCCCCAAGGCGTGAAACACTACAGGGAGAAGAACAGGCTGGGCTCCGCCGTAGTCGCGGCTGCATCGATCAGAGTTTCACACTCCGCCAGATTCGTGAGCGCCATCATGTGTACCAAAAGCCAACGATCGTTGTGTTCTTGGATGTCCGTGTTGCCTTCGATTCTGTCGACAGGGCTGCCTTATGGCACTGTCTGTTGAGGAATGGCATTCCCGGGAAGTACGTTTCCGTACTGCGTGCTCTGTATAGTTAGACCTCTCGTAGAGTTGGGGCTAATGTCAAGCTTTCACCTTCCTTCGTTGTCACTAGTGGGGTTCGACAAGGATGCCTTATCTCTCCATTCCTCTAAAATGTTGTCACTGAGGATGTCCTCAAAAATACTCTGGAAGACTTGTTGAAGGTTGGCGTTGAACTCTTCCCAGGTAGTCGGGTGGTTGGTTTGGATTACGCTGATGATATCGTCTTGTTGGGTGACAGTCCGTAAGCCGTCCAACTTGTACGTAACCACCTGGTGATTGAAGTGTCGAAGCATGTATGCACTTTGCACCATCCAAGTGCAAAGCGCTTTTCCAAGACTAGCAGATGCCCCTACCTGCACTCAACATCGGTAATGAGACGCTGGAAGGTGTACAGAATCTTGTCTACCTGGGAAGCTGCATAACTGCTGGTGAGGACGTTGGAGATGAGATTTCGATGCGCATCTCAAGAGCTCGTCTCGTCTTCTACAGGCTGAGGCAATTATGGCGCCGCCATGACATCCGTCGCTCCATCAAAGGGCGGATTTATAGTGCTACCGACCACGCTGTACTGTTGTACGGTTGCCAGACTTGGTCTGGTCGTACCGATGATTTGCGCCGACTGTCTGTCTTCGAGAACCGTTGTCTGCGGCCAATCGTACGTGTGTGATGGTTGCATCATGTAACCAACGTTGTAGTCAGACAGCGTGTCTTGGATGGAGGCAACCAATCCTTCGAGGCGTTTGCTCGCTGTGCTTGGACACGTACTGCGTATGCCCGCTCGGCGTTTTCCGTGCAGTGCCTTGTTCGCGGTCCCAGGACAGGGATGGTAAAGGTGGCGTGGTGGACAACCTGAAACTTGGAGAAGCGGGATACAAACGCTGACAGAACAGCTCGGTCGGTTCCTCTCGACCCCTGGATGGGGTCCCAAAGATGCTGAGTGTGGCTGGTTGGAAACGTTGAAAGTCATGGCTCAAAACCAAACTTAGTGGCGGTCAGGTGACTCTGCTGATTGCGGTGATTCCCATTCCCTATCCCAATAAAAACATGCAAAAAACTCAAAAACAGTGGGAAATGGACGAAAAATTGCGTTTTCTTTCTCCTTATTTCTAATTCTGTTTTCTTATTCCGTCATGGTTCCGATGGCACAACATCTGTGCATAGACTGATATATATACATATATATATATATATATATATATATATATATATATATATATATATATTCCATCCCCAGAGGATCTAGCGCACAATAAGATGAACATATCCCTGCGTGATCTAGTAATCATCAACATCAACAACAACATCAACATCAACAATCATCAGCATCAACAATTTCTCTGAACAGGCCCAATACCGAGTAGTATGTGCCAGACAATGTGTTTAATCAATCCAACAAAATCCACACCACCCATGCTAGAGTTGAGCTATTGTAAGTCACTCGCGTACCCTATCTTCGAGTACTGCAGTCTAACATACGATAAGATGGGAAAAATTGACAGAATTGTTGAATTATCGAAAACGTTGCAACAAAGTTCAACCCGAACCACTTTGGATTCGACGGTCAAAGCAAAAGTTGTTGTTAATTTACAACCTAATACATGAAAAGATCTCTAACGAGCTACCAAAATCAAATCGCAATATAGCAAAACTCGAGAGCTTTGAAACAAAGATTATGCACTGAGTAGACCAAAGGCTAGAACAAGCGTGCGCTCAACTTTCTTCCTGTGGAATAAACTGCCAATCACACTCAGGTCATGTGACAATGTGGCAATATTCAGTAGCAAACACTCAAGTTGACCTAAATACAATAATGTAGATATGTACATGGGGAAAATCCCCCGAAATGCTCTTCCAAGAAGGGCCAAAAGCATCCAAACACTAACGTTTCCAAACCTGGGCCATCACCTCAAGTATCTACCAAAACGCTATTACATGAATCGTATACCCCGAGATTTCACATATGTGCATCGCCCATGCAAGAGAAAGGCTACTTTTGTGCGAACTGATCTGCGCTGCTACAGACGGTTTCTAGGATCATGAGATATACGCATTATGATTATTAATGTTAGTATTATTGTTAATAGTAGTAGTATATGCTTCAGATACAAGTCACATACGCCAGTCCGAATAAGCTAAGATTGATAGCTTGAACACGATGGCGAAGTAGAAAAACGACGAGTAAGAGCGCCGAGAAGACAGAATGCAACAGACAATTGCATCGAACGGGAAACAGAGCCCTAATGTCGGGGGAAGGAATTGTTGAGACATGCATGGCGACTCTGAAGATCAAAAGCAAACCGACGAGCCCACTAACCAAACAGTTCAGAAGAACGAAAGTAAAAGATTGCTGACGTAGTGTGGTGGGAACTAGCACGCGTAACTAGAAGTAGACTGTGCTGCATCAAATCGTTGCATGCTGTTGAAGTGCAACCATTTAGTGCCGAAGCCACAAGTTAATAGCAGCCACCCGCTCAGATCGATTTGACTTGAACGTGTAAAAAAGTAGCGATTCGTATCTTGGAACAACCGACATTATGCCTAGTGATCCCGAAATGACGCATAGCCACCAATAGCATGATGAAATCGAGACTTTAGTATCCAAACTGAACTCACCGTTTAACCAAGTTTGACGACTGCTGACATTCCAGATAATTGATAATTTGTTTGTCTTCAGGACACAACGCTTGGATGGCGAGATGATTTTTCAGACAAGAGGAGCAGAAGGTATGTCCGCATCTCGTATCGAGAGGATCCACGAGTGGCTGCTGGCATAGCTAAACGAAAAACGAAAAGATAGCCGAAAGTAGGCCATGCAAATGTTAGATAATTTGTTCTAGGCGCAATGGAATATATATATATATATATATATATATATATATATATATATATATATATATAAACAAAGGGCAAATTTAGTAAAACTGAGTTGGAAACTGTGAAGGGTGAAGGACAGCATCATGCTCAGTTTGGTTACAACACGTGTCATCGTCTTACTCGACAGAGAAGATCCGCATCAACGACCTCTGCGTATTGGTAGTAATGGGCCACAGATAACTCATGCACGTGGCCGCAAATTCCACACCACAACGCACGAGAAATGTCGTTGTCGTCAGCAGATCCTAAGCATTGAAAATGACGTGAATCAGCTGTCATGGACATGTTGTGGACGCTTGGAGCAGCATTCGATGCTGACGTCTGCAAATACGAAAATAAAACCTCAGTTCGGGGAACTAAACCTACAGTTATCGCTGTTTTACAATCCGAAACGGAATCACTGGGTGCCGTCACAATTGTATTGGTTTCTTTTCTTCGAAATCCACAGGGACTCGTAAGTTCGAGGGGAGGTTTATTTGAAAAAGGGATGTTAAATGTAGGCGGCGAAGGGATGGACAGTACACATTTCCCTGGAGTTGAATCGATGCAGAGTGGAGTAGCAGACTGGCTCACATGTGTTGCGGGATTACATGCAGTAGTACCGAGATTAGAAGACAATGTGAAATCAGGTTTAAATTTTTCAGGGGAGAATGCAAAGTGAAAGTGGGAACTTTTCTGACAAGCGATGTTGAGTCCATTTCCCATTTGAGGTATGTTAAACGCGGTTGCAGTTCGAACCGTAGCCGTAGATGCAGAACTTGGGTCAATCAAAGTAGGACTATGCAGTTCTGAAGCGGTTACAAGTGATGAGTTCTGTGAGAACCGCTGCCGCGGAGGCGGTTTGATAAGCGGCATCATAACAAATTTCCCTTCTGATGCAAATTACGCATCATAATTCGAAAATAGTGTCGCATAAATTGTGTACAATATTGGCGTACCGTTCTGCGTTTTCAGGACTTGTAACCTGAAAAAACGAGTAGAACGAAATGATAGAGAAGGGAAATGTGAGGATGTTATAGTCATCAAAGCGGTTACGATTGGGCATCAAACAAATAGAAGTAGAAATCATCCCTCATGTAGATAATAATCGGTATCGAGACGGCGAAATGTCTGCTGCAGTCGGAAGTGTGGAAACGAAACTAGAATTAAATAGAGCTTAGGGGCATAATAATGTCCCCAAGGTGAAGCATTTTATATTAAGCACATCGGGAGAAAGATAATCAGGGTAAGGTCTGTCCAGCAACATACTATATGAATTTTTGGTGCTCGATGATCTGTCGTATTGCAGGTGTAAAAAATACACCACTACTAACTCAATATCCAAATAAACTAACTTCGCCAAGTTAACCTCCGGGGCAATAAATTCATCGTGACTGCGCAGTAGATCGAGTTGATTGCAAAGATACACAAGATCAAAGTGGGAAAAAGATTGAACCATAAAAAAGGAAAGTAAAGTGCATACAGTCGTGAAAGATTTAATAAGTGTAGTGTCATGTTTTGGCGCTCCGGTACTGTCCAGGCCTACATATGTGGTTCGCAGTATCCGGTTGCGAATTTGCCTATCACTACGGCCTCCACAGGACAGCCATAGAACGCCTGCACCAACAAAGGGACCATGGGTGGTTTGCGCTGCATCACCCACAGCTCCATGCACACGCCTCATATCCAGTGTAAACCCATCCGTCGCAACGAAACTGGACCTTAACAAGGTGCGGAGACTTGTGTACCTCTTTGACCCATTGAGCTATACTGGGTGGTACCTCCGAGCCCCTCGAGAGTTACTCCTACCTGGTTGGTCAATGGTTAGAGGTTAGACAAACTCAGTCCCGTGGTCCTCCAGGTTAAGGGATTCAAATTAGATGGGACCCATTCCTGCAAAACCGAATCGTTGCCACTGACGCTGCCTTGTGGACAGGATTTTGAGCCAAAGGCTTTGGATGAGGACTCTAATCGTCCTCCTGTCTAGGTCTGGCCGCCCTGACAATATCCCAGTTTACATACAACCATGACAATTTCTCCAATCTCTAACAACATGCTGCATCAGCCATCGCGCAAATTATTAAGGATCGTCTTATCTGCTGCATACAGCAGGGCGGATAAGAGAAAACATGCTACTGCTGGCGCCTCCCTTCCTTTTTTCCACTTGTTTGGTTTACTCACATCCCCACCCCCATTACTAACCTTCTATGGTTCCTGTTGCAGAACCCACTCCTTCAGGGACAAGTGTTTATTCGGCAAAGACAGCTAAGCGAAAATTACAGCATATTTAACAAGCCAAACTCCTCGATATAAAATGCACGTTCAAGTCCATAATTAACGACCCTTCTGAGTCGATGAGATTCCTCCTTTGCTTCAGTTAACCAGACGGTGAATCACACACGAATATCGTCCCATCCGAGTCCAGTAACCAAATCCGTCACGTCCGCCTACCATGGGCTGTTTGGCTCGCTCGGTTGGTTCATCTGCTCACTCTGATTTGATACTACCATCATATCCTCCCTTTTTTCGTGTTCTTGCGCCTCCATATTGCTACCCACCCCGTACACCTTGCCACTCCGCGTCGTCTTCGCTGTATCTGCGGCCGTGGTCTCCTTGCCCCACGCCATCTGCCAGTTCACTCCCAATCCACATGGTTGTCTCCGGTGTCGTCTCAAATGCACTCGATTTCTTCTGAATGTTTTCCCTCCAACATTTATTTCGTATGATCTGGTACCGACTCTCGCAGTCCCCACACCTTTCTTCCACCACTCTCGACAATCGGGTAAGGGTTGAAACTACACTTCCACTCCCACTGTTAGCTCAGGAAGTACTCGTGCACCGCGGTCATAGTTCCGTTTCTGAGTGGCCAACCGTCGTCTCAAATTGTTCTGCAATCGTTCGTGCTGTGGTGAAACTGGGCGCAAAAGTGCGGTTGATGCCAGTGTTCTAGTCCTTCGGCTGTGTAGACGCTGCACCGGGATCAAACCGATATTCGTTGAAGGGGTGTTGCGATTCTCTAGTAGCATGAGGTACGGGTCTTCGCCAGTTGCTCTAGCCTTTGATAACAGTCGCCTGGCCTGCTTCACAGCCGACTCCGCCTTTCCATTCGATTGACTATGATATGGGCTGGTTTGCTGGTGCACGAATTTGCCCTTGGTTGCGAACGAATGGAACGCACCGCTGGTAAACTGGGGCCCATTCTCGGAGACCAGCTCCTCCTCGGATGGCGTCGAAAGGCATGCGGAGCTTCTGTTTCATCACAGCCTGTGCTGGAGCAACTCCGTCTGGCGCTTGTGGATTCGGTGTTGATCGGTAGAGGAAAAGGAACCGGTCAACCACCTCCTCTATAAGTCCCTCCCCTTTTGATTTGTGGAGAGCTCGCTTGAATGTATCGACAAACCTTTCTGCCTGGGCATTCGACTGTGGGTGAAAAGGCGGCAAGCGAACGTGCTGTACGCCGCCTTGCATGCAAAACTCCGTAAACGTTGCTGAAGTAAATTGTGAGCCACCGTCAGTGAAAATTGTCTCAGGACAGCCGAATCTGCTGAAGGTTTGGCGCAGTTTCGGTATGGTGGCATTGGTGGTTTTGTTCTCCATAAGAAATACTTCAGGCCACTTGCTGTATGAATCGACTATAATGAGGAAACTTCGGCCGTTGTTCGGTCCCGCAAAGTCGACATGGATGCAGCACCATCGCTTAGTAACTTTTGGCCATGAATAGAGTACAGATTTTTGGGGCGCTTTCAAGACATTGGCACACTGTTGGCAGCGTTTGGCTATTTCTTCTAGCTGTTTGTCCATGAACGGCCAGTATACATAACTGCGGGCAAGCGCCTTCATCCGGTTGATTCCAGGATGCCCGGCATGAAACTGCCGAATAAGGCGCACCTGAAGTGCCTTGGGGATGACCACTCTTTCCGAAAATAGTATGCAGTCGTTTACAATAGAGAGCGAGTGTCTCCTCTGGAAGTAATGTTGCAACTCGGCAGATGGACATGAACGTGGCCAACCTGTTTTGTGAAATCGTGTAACTTTCTTGAGTATTGGGTCCCGAAGCGTTTCGGTTCGTACAGCTTCTGCGGTAACTGGTAGACCGTGCAATGCATCAGTTACCAGGAAGTTGACGTCAGGTTCAACCTCGACCGAGGCAATGATTGCGTCCTCATGTTCTTGTTGGTGGGCATCAATTAGGCGTGATAGTGCATCCGCTTGGCCAATGGAAACTGTCGACTGGTATTGGATCGCAAAAGCATACCCCATTAAGGTAAGAGCCCAACGTTGTAGCCGGTTGGCTGTGTAGGCCGGAATGCCCTTTTTCGAACCAAAGATAGCCAACAAGGGCTTGTGATCTGTCAAAAGCTTGAAGCGGCGGCCGTATAGCATTTTGTGGAATTTCTTGACTGCGTACACTATGGCCAATGCTTCTTTCTCAATCTGGCTGTAATTCTTCTCGGCCTTCGTAAGTGTTCTGGCGGCATGGGCGATTGCCTTCTGAGATCCATCGGCGTAGGTGTGTGATATTACTGCACCAATCCCATGGCTTGATGCATCTGTGGCTAAGACAATCTCTTTGGAGGGAGCAAAATGAGTCAAAAGCAAGTTTGAGGACAGCAGTGACTTGACGCGTTCGAAGGCATTCTGGCATTCTGATGTCCAGTTCCATCTTTGGACTTTGGCTAGTAGCTTGTTTAACGGGGCCCGCAGGCGGTGCATCTCAAACATCATCATCATCATCAACAGCAGTACATCAGCCATTTGAACTGATGCTTCGCTGCCATACAACCATGAGGACCTATGAAATAAAGAATAAGAGGGAGAGAAGGGGGACTTACCTGAAAACCTTAATGCCCTAAGCAAACATTCAGGGTCAAGGCGCCTACACCTTGTGTTAACAACATACCGTCACAAACAGCTGGCTATCGTGCAAAGATAAGGCAAAGATAAGGCATCTCAAACAAGAATGTGCTGTAGTGGCTGATGAGCCCACAAAAGGAACGCAAGGACTGTAGATCTGTTGGTGGAGGCATGTTTCTAATGGCTTCTATATTTTCCGGGTCTGGTCGAGGTCCATCCTTTTCGAGGATAAAACCGAGGTATTTGATGAGCGGCGTGAAAAACGTGCATTTCTCCTCACGGATCCGGAAACCGTACGACTGTATGCAACCAAGCACTTCATCCAGTCGGTTAAACAGTTCTTCCGGTGTTCGGCCCATCACTATGATATCATCCAGATATGCAGCCGTTCCAGAAACGCCCGCTAGCATGGTATCCTTCAACTGTTGGAAGATGGCTGGCGCCGTTTTCACATCAAATGGCAAGCGGTTGTATTGGAATAGCCCACGATGAGTGTTGATCGTCAACAACTCCCTCGAGACATCGTCAACATCCACTTGTAGATAAGCATCGGATAGATCAAGCTTAGCAAAGTACTTATCACCATTCAACTTTGCAAATATATCTTCCGGTAAAGATAAGGGGTACTGGTGGTCGTCCAGCGCGGCGTTGAGGCCAGTTGAAAAGTCAGCGCAAACGCGTACCTTGCTATTTGCTTTCTTCACTGCGACAATAGGTGCGACCCATGATGAGTAGTTGACGGCTGTGATGACTCCGGCACGTTCCAGTCAATCGATTTCTTGATCAACGGTGGACATGACTGCATATGGTACCGGTCTTTTGGCCTTGAACACTGGTTTAGCACCTGGTCGCAAGTTCAGTGTCACTTTGAATTTTGTACAATGGCCCAAGCCATCCTGAAAGACAGAGGCAAATTTGCGCTTCAGATTACGTGTCATGTCTTCGACGGACGTTGATGATGGGTCTGGACTTGCTCGAACTCGGTTGCAGATCTGATTCAAGGGAACATCGAGGAGATGCAA